CTGTCCGCCTCCTCACTAAACTTTCCGCTGCAGCAGCCAGCACTCCCTTAGCCTGCCAGGAGCCTTCCAGTAACCCGTCCCCTGACTGATGACACACTGGGCATTACAAGGTTGAAGATCTAAGACACGATGTTACACAGGAGCCAGATGCCTGGGTACAGGAACGCAGGGTGTGCCTCCCCAGAGAGGAATCTGGACCCCCCCCCTCTCTTCCCTTCAGCATCCACTGGGGAAGAAAGTTCTTGTGGGGTTTTCACTTCCACATGTTCCAGGGTGATGCCCACTTTCCAGCCGGCTGCTTGCTCTGCTCCTTTCCCTCCCCTGCCTGACAGAAACCTCCTCACCCTCCTCATCTCACTGGCCCCCCCTCCTCCCAGCCTGGACGGGTCTCCTCCCTGGTCTCCCTGCCCCAAAGGGTGCCCTCCATCCTAGACATCACCTTTCCTGTGCCCTCATGACACTGGCCCCATGACCTTGAGTTTCCTGAGCACAGGCTTGTGGCTTCCTGCTCCTTTTTCTCCCCTGCGGGTGCTGTCTACCTTAGAAGGTCCTCAAAATTGGCTGAGCCCTTTGATTTGAATCACCAGGCTCTGTCACTCCCTAACTCTGTGACCTTGGGCAAGTTACTGATAAAGATGAACTGGAACTGTAAGGAAACGGATCAGGGGGGCAGGGGAGCCTACAGGAGGAGCTGGGGCTTAGAGATGTTCAGGGAAGAACACCTAGTTGAACTCTATGGTTCTAACTACCTATCTCCCTGCCTCAAATACCCTCCATCTTGGCACACAAGCCAGGATGTACACATGGCTTGCCGTGTCTGCATGTGCTGGGTTGCAACCCTTTTTCCTTTTCCTTTTTCTTTTTCCTGAATAAATCCTTTTGGTGATGGAATACCTAATAGACATTATTTTTCAGTCGACATTACTTAACTTCTCTGGGCCTCCATTTCCACCTCTTAAAAATGGGAGTAACGGATAGTCCTTACCTCACAGGGTTGATACAAGGTTAAAAGACAACTCACACATAACTCGCTTACCACACTCGCAATTGCATACTAAAGCACTGGATATACAATGGATAGATATGCCATCCATAACCATCCCATGGATTTCATATAACGCTATACAATTATCAAGCCTTGTACAAACAGGTGCAAGGCACACAGTTTCTTGTAATCTGTTCTCACTTCCAATGGATTATTTGTCCAACCAGGATCGCCAAGTCCGGCTTTCAACTCCTCTCTAACCACTCAGGTTCAAATACGGAGCCTGCCCCGCAGGAGCTGTGCACACAGCAGGAGAGCAGGGACCGGGTGATTGGCTCACGGCCCGGGGCTGCCCCGCAGACCATATCCAGGCTCTGCACCCGGTTACTCCCACGCCGAGGTCACCCGGTAAGTAAGGGGAACGGCTTCTGGGAACTGGAGCTCGGCGGCCCGTGTGCACAGCCGGGTGCTCCAGTGACTCAGCAAGGGGCGTGTGCAGGCGGCACCAGGCCGGGGCGGGCTTTTGCACTCGCCCCAGCTCCTTCCCGCTATAAAGGCAGCCCGCCGTGTGCTCAACCCAACCACGCTTTCTTTAAGCTATAGCCATCCGTCTTGCAGCTGTCCTCGGACTCCAGCCACCACCACTTCAGCTCGCCATGGATCCCAACTGCTCCTGCGCCGCCGGTAAGGGGACCTTCCGGGATTGGGACGCGCTGGGTGTTGACTGTAGTATTGACTGTAGAGCTAGAGAAGCAATTTCGGACCTATCGTGTACTTCCTAATCACTGACTTTCAGGGTCTTGGTGGCCCGTTTCTAAAGCGTTTGGTCCACCTTTCTCTACTGGCCGCCGTTTTATGATGAGATCGGAGTTCATGACATGGCCAGGTTCTCACCACCTAGTTGTAGATCTGGGACTCCAACCAGGGCTCCTAGCATCCCTCCCGCGTTCAGGGCTCCAAGGACTATTCTGACCTCTGTCTTTCTCCTCTCGGCAGGTGACTCCTGCACCTGCGCCGGCTCCTGCAAATGCAAAGACTGCAAATGCACCTCCTGCAAGAAGAGTAAGTGGAATCCTCTCATCTACTCCCTAACTGTTCCNAGGTCACTGCCCTGAATAGCCTGTCTCCTTGAAACAGTGTTCAGCTCCTTTACAAATCTCCTCATTTGGCAATTAGTCTCCTTTCTTCAAGGGGGAAGGAGGGTAATAAGAGCTTTTATCCGGGTGGTTGTGGTCTAGTCTTTGATAAAAGGGAACACTCTGATCTACCTGGGTTGGGTGAGAAGGGAGAAATAGAATTCTGGGAGAGAAAAGTTTCCCAGTGGGAGGACAATGCTGTAAACATGTCAGCTTTCCTCTAAGTTTGTTTTTCTGGCTAGTCCAGTCAAAAGCCCACAAGGATTTTTTTTTTAAGCCTAAAAGGATGAGTTTAGAAAAACAGCACAAGAAAAGCCAAGCCCGTTTTGTGAAGGAAGAACAAACAAAGGTGTACTCTAACCTGCTGGCACTGCTTGTTCTAAAGCCCTAGGAAGTGGTGTCAGCTCGGGAATAGATCATTTGGACAGAGAAGAGAATCCAAAAATAGACCCCTGTGTAGCTGGAAGTAGATGATTAAATCAGTGGCAAAAGGATTCACTAGACAGTGAAAAGAGTTGGAACAATTGGCTACCCCTTTGCATATAATGTAAAAAATAATTTTCAATTGACTTAAACACCCAGGAGCAAAATCAAAGCTATGAAAGAATTTGGAAGAGAAAACTAGGACAATGCTTATTGCTTTAGGGTAGAGACAATTCTTTTAAATAAGACACATGAAAGAAAAGATGGATAAATTTGAGATTACCCTGTGCTATGTCCCCTTAAGTACATTGTTTTACTTGATCCTTAAACTCTAAATGAATGGTATGATTATTATAGCCATTTTATAGCTGGGACAATAGGGCTTAAAGTAATCTGCATGAGGTCTGTTAAAAAATTCATGTATCTTTTTTTTAATTTTTTTTAAACTTTATTTGGAAACATTGTGTTTTTCCAGGACCCGTCAGCTCCAAGTCAAGTTGTGGTTTTCAATCTAGTTGTGGAGGGCACAGCTCACTGGCCCATATGGGAATCAAACCAGCAACCTTGGTGTTATGAGCCCATGCTTTAACCACCTGAGCCAACTGGCTGCTACAAAAAATTCATGTATCTTCTTTGCTGACATATAGATTAGAATATCTTGCCAACTTTTTTCTCTTACCTTTATTGTGGTAAAATATACATAACCTAAAATTTACCGTTTTAGCCATTTCTAAGCGTACAGCTTAGCAGCATGAAGTATAGCCTCATTGTGCAACTCGCACCAGGATCCCTCCCCAGGACTTTCCCATTTTCACACGCTGAAACTTTGTCCCCGTCAAACACTAACTCCCCATTCTTCCCTCCCTTCAGCCCCTAGCAACTATCATTCTACTTTCTGTCTCTATAAATTTGACTACTCTAGGTACCTCATATAAGTGGGATCATACAATATTTATTTGTCCTTTTGTGTCTGGCTTATTTCATTTAGCATAATGTCTTTAAGGATCATTC